TCTTCTTGTTCACTGGATCCCATAATTTATACTCAAACTCTTCATGACTATATCCCAAGAAGATACATGCTTTTACTTTATTATCAAGCTTGGACCTCTCATCTTTGGGAATATGAACAAATGCTTTACACCCAAAGACTCTTAAGTGATTATAAGATATATCTTTTCCTCTCCATACTCTCTCTGGAACATCACCTTTCAGAGGAACTGATGGAGAAAGATTTATCAAATCAATTGTAGTTCTCATAGCCTCCCCCTAAAATGACTTTAGTAACTTGGCATGGGAAAGCATACACCTAATCCTTTCTTCAATGGTTCTGTTCATCCTTTCTACCACACCGTTCTGTTGAGGAGTTTTAGGAACTGTTTTCTCAAGCCTGATACCATGGAACCTGCAATAATTCTCAAAAGGACCCCTATACTCACCACCATTATCTGATCGAATACACTTTGGTTTTCTGCCAGTTTCTCTTTCAACACTAACATGAAACTCCTTGAAAACATCGAGTACCTGGTCTTTAGATTTCAAAGCAAAAGCCCACACTTTTCTAGAATGGTCATAAATAAAAGTAACAAAATAAAGAGCACCTCCAAGAGTTCTAGTTTGCATAGTACAAATATCATTATGAACTAAATCAATAACATCTGATCTTCTAGATGATGGATATGTCTGAAATGCAACTCTATGTGTTTTTCTAGCTAAGCAATGATCACAAGATTTAAGAGATATACCTTGCAACTCTGGTAAGAACTGTTTTCTAGCATGAGTTTGAAGTCCCTTCTCGTTGATATGTTTAAGCCTCTTATGCCAAAGATCTATACTTTCACCTTTTCGAATTGCATTAATCTCTCCTTTATGTCGCTTAGCTTCCATGACATAAAAAGAGTTAATCTTCTTTCCTTTTGCCACAATCAGAGAACCTTTAGTAAGTTTCCATTTGCTTTTACCAAAATAGTGTGCAAAACCCTCATCATCAAGTCTACCTATAGATATCAAGTTAAGACGAATATCTGGAACATGCCTTACATCTTTGAGTATCAATTTGCTCCTAATACTGGTCTCCAAGCAAATATCTCAATACCTACAATCTTAGATGTATCACTATTTCCCATTCTGACATTACCAAAATCACTAGCAGTGTAAGATCTAAAGAAATCACTATGAGAAGTAACATGAAATGAAGCACCAGAGTCAATTACCAAATTACTGTCCTGAGCACAAGACTAATACAACCTTCATCACAGACAATAGTGATATTACCTTCAGCAACAACTGTATTGGTCTCTTTCTCATTTTTCTTCATTTCATTCTGTTCTCGCTTTCAAAACCTACACTCTTTCTTCATGTGACCTGGCCTATTACAGTGAAAACATTTGATATCTCTTCTAGACTTAGATCTTTCTCTATATCCATGTGGATTTCTGCTATGACTTCTTCCACGTCTTTCTTGTTTTTCAATAACAAATGCACTAGAAGAAGATTCACCCTGTTCTTTCCTTTTGACATCTTCATTTAGCAAACTATCTTTAACCAGAGTCTATAGTTATATTTGGCCCCTCTGGTGTGGAGTTACAAATAGTCACCACATAAGTTTCCCAACTTTCTGGTAAAGAGCTGAGAAGTAATAATCCTTGCATCTCATCATTTATATTCATTTTCATAGCAACAAACTTGTTTACAAGACTCTGAAATAGGCTTATGTGCTCAACAATGTTACCACCATCTTTATACTTCAAATTTACAAGTCTTTTGAGGAGAGAAATTCTATTTCCCACTGTCTTTTTCGCAAAGAGATTTTCTAAACTTTGCCAAACAACATCAGCTCTGATTTTATTTGAAATATGCTCATGCAAGTTTATATTCATCCATCTTCTAAAATAGGCAATAATTTTTCTATGTTGAACTTCCCATTCTTCATCGCCCATAGTAGAAGGTTTATCTTTAACCTTGATAGGCTTATACAAATCTTTGTAATAGAGCAAATCTTCCATCAGACGCCTCCAAGTGGAATAATTTGATGAGTTCAATTTAATCATACCATCAGACTCCATTTCAATCACACAAGAAAAACTAGCACCAAACAATCTATTGCTCTGATACCACTTGTTGGGAAAAACCTGTTAAAGCGGAATATTTTTTTCCCTCTTTGTGTATCAAAATGGGTTCCTCATCAAAATACCAACTTGATATCCAAATGTAAATATCAACCAGCACAGCATAAACAATAGAGCAAATAATCAATCATACAGTGAGACCAAATCTTTTTAACATGGAAAACCCAATGTAAGAAAAACCACGGGACCGTAGTCCACCTCAAACTTCCACTATCAATAATAATGATAATAGGTTTATAGTATGTCTTCTCTAGCATATTATTAGGATGGATCTCCTCGAAAGAGAATTCTAGGTCTCACAAAATGGATATCACAGGAAAGTACCTTAGAGAGGGTAAACTGTAGATCAACACCGTTAGGATTGTAGAGTTTGTTGCAAGGATTCTCCACATAAAATTTGGGCCAAAACTAACAACGTTTGGCCACCGATCATCAAACAGAAAACTCAGAAACCTTACTTTCTCTCTCTATCTCTCTCCTCTTTTCTCTGCATGCCGCCGCAGCTCATGCAGTTAGAGTTGTTAACCGATTTCTCTCTAATCCTGGTAACGAACATTGGGCAGTAATTAAATTGATATTAAGATATCTAAGAGATACTTTCAGATTGTATTTATATTTTGATAGTGATGAACCTGTGCTAGAAGGGTACACAGATGCAGATATGATTATAGGAAGTCTACAGCTAAAATCTAATTTATTAAAAAAATAATAAAAAAGAAAAAGAAAGAGATGTGCTAAGTGAGAGCAGCAAATAGCGAAGGTGTGCGTCCAGCGAACAGTGGCTTTTGCTAGATGATCGAGCAACTAAACTTCATTAGTTTTGGCTCAAATTTTATACGAAGAATCCTTACAACAAGCTCTAAAATCTTAATTTACCAATCTATAATTTATCCTCTCAGATACTTTCCTGTTATATCCACTTTGTGAGACCTAAATTTTTTTTTTTCCATAAAATTAATCTTTTATGATGATGATATGGTAATGTTGAGCCAAGATATTTATTCTTTATGTGATCCTTTGGTTATTGTGAAGAAGACTTATTATAAATCTATTATCATTATTGGTGATAGTAGAAGTTTACCCAACAAAGACAATAAAACAGAAAGACTAAAAGCGACAAGAACACCAAAAAGCGGAAGATGTTCCTAAGTCATAAAACACCCGAAAATACTAAACAAGAAAAACCCAAACTATAAACTCAAACTATTTAACTGAGTGTGGACTTAAACCCAAAACAAACACTTAGGTTTTTCTTGTGGTGCATCTAACTTCAAAGCCTAGACCCTTATTTATAGTTCCAATAGCAGATAACAAGCCTGATTTCCTCGATGTGGGACTATGAGACTTGCCAAACTAACAAATTTTTTAAATAAAATTTTGATATCTCACTTTGTGATTGATTAATTATTTTATTATTTATATTATTCTGATTAATATTTATATTTGAATAACAAGTTATATTTTACTATAATAATTTTTCCCAATGTACTTCGCATATTCCGAAGGAAGGAGAAAGGAAGGCCAAACGCAAGTCTTGTCTGAAGAAGAGACCTGTCCTCTAGAAGGAGAAAGGAAGGCCAAACGCAAGTCTTGTCTGAACAAGTAAGTCTTGTCTGAACAAGAGACCTGTCCTCTGGAAGGAGAAAGGAAGGCCAAACGCAAGTCTTGTCTGAACAAGAGACCTGTCCTCTGGAGTCAACATGGAGGTAAATGTCATGCTTAAACCCATTTATGAAGCATGGGGACACATGTTGCGGAGACATTTACTGTCATGAAACATCGTAGATGTTGCTTATTTCTTGATT